AAGAACACGGATATTATTGCCGATGTCAGTAACTCCATCACCAAGATGGTATAAATAGTTAAATGGGCATACGGTGTTATTTTGTGATGAAACTACACCAGCAAAAACGAAGAGAAAAGCAAAAGCGAGCTTAATAAAATAGGAATAACAAGAATTAGTATCCATATATAATTTAGTAAATAATTAGCTATTTAATCTTCTCAAATGTGTTTGTTATTGCATTCGCTTGTTTGTAGTTTGTACTCAGAACAATTCAATTCCATGCAGTATATATATAGGCAAAGGACAAGTCGCCAAATTGGAGTTTTGGTATTCATTTAATACGTATAGCCACATTGTTACGTGGTAGACTTAATTACTGGCGTACGTAGATCTGACCTTTTACAATTTCATATATTATATATTAAAATTAATAATTCAGTGTGTAAAACAAAAAATAAATATACTTTTGATTATAATAAAGACTTATATATCAATCTTAAATTATTATAATCTAATATGGAGTTAGAGATGATGGGTGACATTTTATTTCAAGTAATGATGCAATATTAATTTGTAAGGAGTATCTAAATTTTAAAATAAAAATATATTTCACTATATATTAATTCAGAACGTGTTGAGCTTAAATGACAGACTCATACGCTTCGGATGCTGACAAAACAAAAATATATGCTTCGAAATGTTGTTTGTGTATTATTTTCTTTAGAATTAAGCTTGGTAGAGACATAAATAACTTTTTTTTCAAACATGATAAGTGTACATTTAATTTTGTTTTTTTTTTCTCTTAGTACAAATTTACTTCTTAATTTGGACAAGTAGCAATCTCACCATTTTATAATTTTCTCTCAAATTTTTCTCTTAAATTACGATTTAGTATTTACAACTCACTTTCTGTGCTGTCTATTTTTTTTTTTTAATTAATTGATCCATCAAAACTTTTAAATAAAATTTTTATTCAGCAAAGATTTTTTTAATATATATTTAACTCAATACCCGTGTAGTAGTAGTCTATTATTATTTTAGAATAATTTTAATTAGAAAAATCTGAATTAAGTCATTAAAACTTGTTTAATAGACTAGTGGGGCAACGGTACCAGTATATAATCAATTTTGACATAATGGGAAACTCATGTAGCCCATCTTATATGGCTTAGGATTGTTAAGATGCGTATAGAACTGTTAAGATGCGTATAGAACTCTGACTTAATTATTTGTATATTTATTATTTTTTTTAGAAACGTAAAAGAGTGAATTAAAGATACGACTTAAATTAATAGATAGACTTATTTGTTTTTTTAATTTTGAGTAGAAAATGTCCTGATGATTTTTTTTTTTTTTTCAAAACAATATATTCATTAACTAAATACAAAATTACACCCAGCTAACTATACGAAATAGGAAGTCTACTCAAAGTAGCAAATATACCACAACACACACTACAAAATGAAACAAATAAAAATTCCTCATAGGAGAATAATGAAGCTCCCATAAGTAGAGAATAAACACAAGAAAAATACACTCCCAAAACAAAAGGGTGAAAACAAAATAACCACCCACAAAACACAAGCCACCACAAACAAACACAAACACAGACAAATGCAAAAACAAGAACACCAAACAAATATGCTAAAATAAGCCCTCCTCAACAGCCGACAAAAGGATCCAAAACACCCCCGAGCCAGACACCCGACAACGAACCCAAAAAAGTAATACCACACCCAAGAAGCAGTCGACGAAACTCACTTCTCCGAGACGGAGCTGGCAGACAACATCCACAGCATCTGGGTTCAGTCCCTCTCCCAAACGAGTCCACACTGGAAAGCACACAGGGGCTCGCACCACCCATTCCACCAACACCCACGCTGTCGTAGCCGGGGAAGCTCCGAACAGCCGGACCCTTGCCGATGCCCAACTCCAGGGACATCAGCCGAGGAGCAGAAGGAAGAGGCGATGACCCAAGCGCCGACCACCAACCACAACGGACGTCGCCGACAACCTCCATGCCGTCGAATCTCGAAGCATTCCCGCAACAGACATCCGCAAAGGGAAGAAGCTCTGGCGCCAGGAAAGAATCGAGATAAGACAGAGAGGGGAGAGATTGCCCTGCTGCCCTAGGCCCCCGAGGCGGATTGAAACCTCTGGCTGAAGAGGAGGCCGGCGGAGATTAGTTGATATTAAAGATGGTGGCAATATACATATAAATTTGACCCTCAACTTGTGGAATTGTGATAATTAAAGTGCTTTTTCCCTCTAAAGCTGACTAAATGTTAGAATATTCACTTGTGAGTTGTCCCACATCGTTTATATAGAGAAAATTGACATAATTTATAAGCCTAATGGTTACTCCTCCTTCCACCAATTGGTTTTAGAATGGAACCTCACTTGGGCTTCATATGGAATTTCTCCGTCTTGGTGCGTGCACTCGTTCTCCCCCCGTTTCTTACATGGTATCAGAGCCGGTTCTATGTGGGACCGTGAGATGACGTACCCGTTTTCCAGCCTGTTTCTAGTTGGGCTTGGGCACCCGTCTCCATATTTGGGCTTGAGCTTTCTTATTAAGGACTCACAAGTGAGGGGGCGTGTTTAAAGGAAATGAAAGAAAAGCATGAAGAACAAGAAATCAAAAGCAGATGCCAATTTCTCACTGTTTCATTGCAAATTCAAAATGAGCAATTACGTACAATTCTCTTGCTCCCATTTTTTATATGCTACACTCTATGAAG